AGTGGGAGAGGAAGGCTGTCTATCTGACGAGTTTGTATTCATGCTCAGATGCCGAGGAGCTCAGAAGGTGGGCGACTGTGACCAGTGATAGTCATGCATATAGAGATTAGAAATGCATGTGAAAACGTCTCAATGTCAATTGCTTTGGAATGAATTCTGTATGAAAAAAAAAAAAGTTGTGGTGTAAAGTATTCCTTGAGAAATATTTATAATTCTATGAGAATGTAAATAGTTTCACAGTAATTGTTTTCCAGTTAGAATATTCTAACTTAATTGCAGTGCGGTCTCTTTAATTTCTTGTTCATTAATTTTTAACTAACTTCATAAAAGAATAAGAATAAAAAAATATGATTTATTTTAGAAAAAGTTAAAAAAAAATCTGAATTCAGCATGTAATTCAGAAAATTGGTCCCATGAAGGATGAAAGCACTACTCGTTTTCAAGTCTGCCTTTACATTGTTCTCAGCTGGAATTCCCTCTCCATTTCCTTCAGTTTACCCTAACTAGACTTCAAGACACAAGTTCAATGTCACTTGCCCTATGACATTTACTTATACTAAACTACTTCTACTGATACTTCACAGGTGATCAGACAATATTGAACTAATGTTGTCTTATTGTGGCTGCTAATTTTTAAACCATTATTATATTTGGTTCATGAAGAGACTGTACATCACTTGAAGCTGTGATTTATTTGTTGTTTCAACAATGATCTGCTGAGTGCCCAGTATGTGCCCAACACTGCTGTAGGCAATATGGAGTCACAGAGGGTAAAGCTGGGAACATCCCTGCTTTCACAGAGCTTACATTCTGGTATTCAAGTTATCCTAAACTTTGCACAAAGACTGGCCTAGAACAGACTTGGGGGCAAGCCTGTATTCAATGACCACTAAAAATTAGCCAACTGCCAGGGGTTGGGTCAGAGAAAGGTACTGAATACCTGGAAGAATGTTAAAAGATCCTAGGACTATTTTCAGAGAATTTTTTAGAAATTTTCCTTTCAATAAAGAAAAAAAGAACAGTGAGGCTTATATTGTTTGAGCAAAATTTCTACATAAGTAGTGCTAAATTGCTCTGTTAAATTGAAATGAGCTGAATCTATAACCTTGAATTAAATTTTTGTGGGAAAAGCAACTACCAAAACAGAGTGAGAATTGACTTTGTGACTTATAAGATCTCTACCTCTATGATGACCAAAACAATCCAGTTGAAACAAACAATAAGCAATTAAGGTTTCATGATTGGTACTATTAATATATTAAGTGTCAGTACTGACCTCTAAGAAGGAAAACAATATATCCACAGACAGCTCAAAGATAAAATCAATGCTAACATGCTGAATTGCTTCACAATGCATCAAAGAGTAGAAGACAAATTGAGAAATGAAACAAAATTGAGATATTTCAGAAATAATCACAGGCCCTGATACCTTCACTTCTGACTTCTGTTATCAAATTCACAACTAGATGCTCTATGAACAATATAGAAAGGTGAGTTGTGCTTTATAAATGGGGAGTGTTTAAAGAGACCCGTTTCCCAAGTGAACCTCAGTATCATGCCAAGACAGAGGAGGATTTCAGGGTAGAAGGGGAGGGTCAGGTGTGTTGTCATCTCTGGTGTTATCTGGCTTGCACAGCAGATTCCCAGAAAGGTGGGAAGGCAAAAGGTGGGAAGAGAAAACAGTTACATTTCAAGAATCCAGGAATGCATGTAATGATGAACCAAATCTTACTCTATCACTGAATTTTCTATTCCAATAAGCATTTTTTTTTGGTCTGGTATCCACAGATGAGTCAATGCACCTGAACCTTTACTGCTGACTTCTCAAATGCTCCCTGAAAGCTACACAGAAAGTTTAAAATGCTGAATTTGGGTGATGGATCTATAAAGTGAACAGAAATCTATTAGTTGGGAAAATAAGGCTGGGGAGATGGCTCAGTGGGTAAAGTGTGTGCAGTGCAAGTGTGAGGTCCTGAATTTGAATCCCTGGAATCAATGTAAGCCAGAAATTGTTAGCACACATCTGTAATCCTAGAGCTCCTATGAGGAGATGGGAGATAAGGACAGGAGACTCTGTAGAAGTCCTGACCCAGCCCAGTCTGGTATCTGAATTTGTCCTCTGACCTCTGGAGTATGTGTGTGCATACACACACAGATACACAGACACACAGACACACAGACACACACACAGACACACACCACACACACACACACACACACACACACACAAACCAAAATGAAAAATAAAGAAACT